TTCCACCCTGACCTGCTCACACCTGCAGAGCGTGGGGACGATAATGGACATGGTGATGATGGCCGAGGCTCAGAAGAACGGATGCGTTAGGTTCAGTAAAACACCGGCTTTACGTCCGTCCATCTACTTCCCGACTCCTGAAATCAGGCCCTGCAGGGCGGCCGGGCGAGCACTCTGGGCTTCCGTCAGCCGAGCGCGCCCATCGTCGTCCCCGCGGCCACAAGGCCTCCTAACTCCCTTTAAGATTACAGCCACAAACCCAGCACCCCATGTCCTGAAAGTCATCCTCCTGCATGGACCCCTCCCCTGGTCCGCCCTGCTCTAAGGAAGACAGATTCCTAACTTCTTCTCCTTCCGTCTGTGAGTAAGTGTTTTTTTCTTGTTATAAGAGAAAGAATTCTAATTTGCTGCCCTGGAAGCAGCCACATTGATCTGAATCTGCAGAGCAAAGTGGAGATTACGGAGCGAGATCCGCTGACCTCACGCCCCCGTCTGCACTGCAGCGACGGTCAGTTATGGTCAGTCAGGCATGCGTGAAGGACACCGGGCTGGCCGTGGGCAGGCCGAGGTCTGTTAACGGGGAGCACTCGTCCCCGGCCCCTGCCGTCCGGGCAACACTGCCTCTGCCTGTCCCCCTGTCCGTCCGTCCCCATCCCCCCCCTGAGAGGTGCCTGAGGTGGGACCGTATTTCCCTGCCCCTTTGCTGCAGGGGTGAGGCCATGTCGGGGCACTGCCATTGGGAAGTGGCGTCACAGTGTTCTTGCGAGACCCGCCTGTGTGGTGGAGACGGTCACTCTGTCTGGCCCCCCGTGGGCCCGTGATGGCTTCCCTCACAGTGACCCAGTGCGCGGAGTAGGGGGCCCTTCCTGGCCGTCGTCGGGGGTCCCTGTCGGACCTGGAAATGCTGCCATCGCAGTCCTCTGAGAGGAGCCCGACGTAGAGAAAATGGAACGGTGTCTGCATGCGCTTCCCTCTCCTTAAGTCCCCTGCCACCCATCTGTCCACCCGTCTGTCCATCTGTGTGTCCGTCCATTTAGCCAGTGACAGAGGGGCCAGGCTGGCAGCAGCTCCCGGGTCTGCGAGGGGGCGATGGAGGGAAGGCCTTCATCCGGGCGCCGGTGGGAACATGTGTGTGAATCCGGGACGGTGGCCTGAGGCCAGGCAGTTTGACACCCGAGGAGGAGGTTTAGCCCTCAGCCTGCGCCTCTGCACGCTGGGCTGGTGAGAAGCCCAGGACCGGCCATTAAGAAGTTTAAAGGAAGCTGAGTCGATTCAGGGGATGCCCGGAACCGTTCCGTCTTCCTTGTACCGTCACGGATGTGTCCGTCTGCGTTGGCTCCGGTGACGCTGCCCGTGGGTGTGCGTGTGGGACGCGTGGTCCTACACCCGCGTCTCACAGCTCCGACCTGTCCCAGGAGACTGTGAAAGCAGCTGGCCACTGAGCGCTGACCTCGGTGTTAGCCGAAGGAAGATTAGAAAGGAAGCCGCTTAGTTTTAGTAGCTTTGTGACAATAGCATGAAACTCGGAATAATGAACTGTAAATGTGCTTAATTACATAAATAATGCATTTGTGTAATTGTCAAGTAAGGGGTGGCTAATGAATCAATTATTTTTAATTGTCGGATGCTTGATTGTTTCAGAAATATAATTGATTGTAATCAAGGATCAATTGGATGTTGATAGTAATTATGTTTATCCGGCTTAAGCACATGACATCGTGCACCGTCGCTGCTTCAGGAAGGAGCGAGGTCACTGGCGGGAAGGGACTTGCTCACGTTCGTGCCGAAGCGGCTGCCGCGGACCTCCCTCCTCACGAGTATCTGGGCGAACATCCTGAGTGCGGGCGGCTGGGCCTGAGGGCACGCGAGTGTATTTATTTTGTGATAAAAGTAAATGGTGCTTAAGGTTAGGAAGGTCGGTGTGACCTTCAGTGAGTAAAATACCCCAGCGCTCCCCCGAAGTCGCCTTTCTGTTTCTCTCCCCGCCTCGCCTGTGGCTTCCTCAGAGTGTGGGCACGTGCTTCACATGTTGTACTCGATAAAGAACCGGGTGGTGACATGCAGGTCCCATGGAAGTAAAGGAAGAGAGCGAGGAAAACACGCAGGAGAACGTTCACCCGGACCCGGACCCAGACCCGGACCCTGCGGAAAGGCCGGGGACCTGGGCAAAGTGGAGCGTCGGCGGCGTGAAGGCGAGAGGCGGCAGGTGTCCCTCCCCTCTGAGGCCGGGTTTCCGCACGCGTGGACGTCACCGCGTACATCTAGTCACCGCCCTAAACTCCACAGAAACCAACAATGGAGGCTGTCAGAGTGACGTCTTCCGAGGGAGACCTGTTTGCCGAGGCAGGAACGCAGCCCGTTCTGTGTTCAGGGAAAGCGACGGTGAAGTGCTCATCACCGTCCTGTTTGTGATCACGGGCGATACGATGTATATTTCCATCTCAGATCCTTTGAGTCTGTGTGTGACCACCACTGACTAACCCACTGTGTTCGGACCTGGAACGCCCAGCGTTCCGTGTTCTGCCAGCCGCGTCTCCAAGCTGGGGTTGCAGGTAAGCTCCTCCGCTGAGGGAGCGTATTGACTTCCGGTGTCTCCTTCATCGGATGAAAGACGGGCGCTGTGAGCCACCATCACTATCATCACCACCATCACCATCCCCACCACCACCACCATTACCATCACCACCATCACCACCACCCCATCATTACCACCATTATCACCATCACCACCACCCCATCATTACCACCATTATCACCATCACCACCACCCCATCATTACCACCATTATCACCATCACCACCACCCCATCATTACCACCATTATCACCATCACCACCACCCCATCATTACCACCATTATCACCATCACCACCACCCCATCATTACCACCATTATCACCATCACCACCACCCCATCATTACCACCATTATCACCATCACCACCACCCCATCATTACCACCATTATCACCATCACCACCACCCCATCATTACCACCATTATCACCATCACCACCACCCCATCATTACCACCATTATCACCATCACCACCACCCCATCATTACCACCATTATCACCATCACCACCACCCCATCATTACCACCATTATCACCATCACCACCACCCCATCATTACCACCATTATCACCATCACCACCACCCCATCATTACCACCATTATCACCATCACCACCACCCCATCATTACCACCATTATCACCATCACCACCACCCCATCATTACCACCATTATCACCATCACCACCACCCCATCATTACCACCATTATCACCATCACCACCACCCCATCATTACCACCATTATCACCATCACCACCACCCCATCATTACCACCATTATCACCATCACCACCACCCCATCATTACCACCATTATCACCATCACCACCACCCCATCATTACCACCATTATCACCATCACCACCACCCCATCATTACCACCATTATCACCATCACCACCACCCCATCATTACCACCATTATCACCATCACCACCACCCCATCATTACCACCATTATCACCATCACCACCACCCCATCATTACCACCATTATCACCATCACCACCACCCCATCATTACCACCATTATCACCATCACCACCACCCCATCATTACCACCATTATCACCATCACCACCACCCCATCATTACCACCATTATCACCATCACCACCACCCCATCATTACCACCATTATCACCATCACCACCACCCCATCATTACCACCATTATCACCATCACCACCACCCCATCATTACCACCATTATCACCATCACCACCACCACCATTGCCATCATCACCATCACCATCACCATCATCACCATCACCCTGTTTGTAATGAATCCCTTGCAACTCCCCAGCCTCCGGTCCGGCCATTGTCTTCCCAGGGGTAATTAGTGAGCGTGGCCAACCCGTGGGACCTCGGGAAGTGAGAGGGAGAGGAAAACCCAGGCGGGGCAGCACACCTTCAGACTCCCTGGCAGGCATCCAGTCGGCTCCCCATGCCTCCCGGGGACACGCACACATGAATATTTCAAGGGTTTCAGCTGCTATTGATTTTTGGCTCAGCATCCAGCCGGTTAATTTAATGCGACGCAAAAACACAGGGAGTGGGGCAAAGCCCGCGTCTCCACACAGGAAGGAGGGGCCGGGAGCCGAGATTTGAGGGAAACGCAGCCCGATCCCGTCTTAGTTCTGCGGGGGGAGGGGGGCACCTCACTTGTAAGGTGTTAATGTCAGAAACATTCACGCTGTAAAGAATTCTTGTGCATTGATTTGAGCCAAACTGTCGACAATCGCCGGGAAGCAGGATCTCAATGGATTCAGGGAGAACGTAGAAAACCTCTTCCCTCCCCGTGGTTCCTTTCTCGTGGGCGCCCAGGCTCCCACGTGACGGAGGTTCTGACGAGTGTGTAACACTGGGGTTGGCGTGAGTGG